ATAATTAGAAAATTTTAAATTATACAGGGGTTAACTACTTATTGAAAACTTAATAGACAATGATTTCTACGAATTGAAAATTGTTTAAAATTATGAGGGGTCCTGGGGTTTAACTACTTTTTGAAAAATGTTTTAAAAAAGGTGTACTACTGATATTACTAATTTTAAAAATTTTTAGAAACTACTAGAGGTTTACTACTAATTGCGAATTTTTTAAAAAGTATGAGGGTGTGGCGAGGTTTACCACTAATTGAAAAATTTTTGATAATTATGAGAAGCCTGGGAGTTTACTACTAATTGAAAAATTTTTAATAATTATGAAGAGCCTGGGGGTTTACTACTAATTGAAAATTTTTTAAAAATTATGAGGGGTCCTGGGGTTTAACTACTTTTTGAAAAATGTTTTAAAAAAGGTGTACTACTGATATTACTAATTTTAAAAATTTTTAGAAACTATCAGAGGTTTACTACTAATTGCGAATTTTTTAAAAAGTATGAGGGTGGGGCGAGGTTTACCACTAATTGAAAATTTTTTGATAATTATGAGAAGCCTGGGAGTTTACTACTAATTAAAAATTTTTAATAATTATGAAGAGCCTGGGGGTTTACTACTAATTGAAAATTTTTTTTAAATTATGAGGGGGTGTGGTTAACAAATTAAAAAATATTTTAAATTACATTCATAAAGAGTAATCCTAATGATTGAAAATTTTAAAATGTTTGAGAGTGGGGCGAGGTTTACCACTAATTGAAAATTTTTTGATAATTATGAGAAGCCTGGGAGTTTACTACTAATTAAAAATTTTTAATAATTATGAAGAGCCTGGGGGTTTACTACTAATTGAAAATTTTTTTAAATTATGAGGGGGTGTGGTTAACAAATTAAAAAATATTTTAAATTACATTCATAAAGAGTAATCCTAATGATTGAAAATTTTAAAATGTTTGAGAGTGGGGCGAGGTTTACCACTAATTGAAAATTTTTTGATAATTATGAGAAGCCTGGGAGTTTACTACTAATTAAAAATTCTTAATAATTATGAAGAGCCTGGGGGTTTACTACTAATTGAAAATTTTTTTTAAATTATGAGGGGGTGTGGTTAACAAATTAAAAAATATTTTAAATTACATTCATAAAGAGTAATCCTAAGGATTGAAAATTTTAAATGTTTGAGGGGCGTAACTGATTTTTAAATTGAATTTAATGTGAGGTAAATAATTTAAATAAAAAGCAATTTTAAAAATATTTTGAGGGTCTAAATTTTCTGTTTAAAGGATATTTATGTAATATATTTTTAAATGGGGAAAGGAGAAAATTAATGAATGATAAAATTTAAAATTTCTGCTCCTTTTATATGGGTTCTTCGTGCTCAAAATCCAAAGTACACGGCAATAAATTAAGGATTGTTTATATTAATTGTGTTTATTAAAGGATTGGATTTAAACATTTTAAACACTTTTTAATTGTAATTTTATACTGTTTATAAGTTTATTTGAAAAACTTTTTATTTATATGGAGTTCAGTATTTTGATCTCAAATTGTTTATAATTTTTAAAGTTTTTTTGCATTGAAAATCATTCTTTAGTCTATTTTATAAATTATATTTGCAAAAATAAACAGATATTATAAACAGAAAAGTTCAAGTCCAGAAATTGGCCTTTAGTCCATAAATTGGACTATTTAATAAAATCCGTTTTAGTTAAATTAATTTCATTTTAATCTGATTATTATCTTTATTTTTTAAATATATTATAATATTAAAATAATTTAACAACATTAATTATAATAATTAATTTATTAACAAATATTATTAAAATTAAAAGTATTATATTGAATTGAATTGAATATTATTTTATTAAAGTTAATAATTTAACCTTTAAATAATGCATTTTAATTCAATTTTAAATTCGTAATTTTACAATTCTTAAAATTTTAGATATTTAATTTTTTAAATAAATTTTTAAATAACATTTAAAAATCTTCACTTTTATCAATTTAAATGAATTTTTTAAATTTTTAAATGAAATTTTAATGTTTATTAAAATTTTTATTTATTTTTTAACATCTTTCTTTTTAACATTTAAATTGAATTTTTTATAGTTTTTAATTAAATTTTTAATTTAATAAAAATTTTAATTTTAAATAATTTTTAGAATTTGAAATAAGTTTTTTAAGTTTTTTTTGTTAAGATATTTTTGTATAATTTTTACTACTTAATTTTTAAATCAATTTTATAAAATAATCTAAGATTAATTTTATATCTAATAGTAATTTTTAATTTTTCGAATTAAAATGACTTTTAGAAAAATAATATTTTAATTTAAATTATCTAATACGAAATTCTTATTCATTTTGTAAAAATCTTTATTAATAATTAAAAGTATTGCTTTTTAATTTAATAAATTTTAGTTTATTTTTGAAGAGTTAAATAATTATTAAATAAAAATTTTTTAAATTAATAAAAAATTTTAAAAATAAATTTTTCTAAAAATTAATAAATTTCTAAAATTAATTAAAAATAAAATTATAAATTAATAAAATTTTAAGTAATTAATTTTTGAAAACTAATTTTTCACTTACGTAATTTTATAAAAAATACTTTTTAAATAATTAATTTTTAAATAAATAATTAAATTTTGAAGAATTAAATTTTTAAAAAATAAAATAATTTATTTTTGAAGAATTAAATTTTTAAAATTTAAAAAATAAAATAATTAATTTTTGAAGAATTAAATTTTTAAATTTTTAAAAAATAAAATAATTAATTTTTGAAGAATTAAAAAATAAAATAATAAATTTTTGAAGAAATTAAATATTTAAAATAAAATAATTATTTTTTGAAATAGTTTGAAGAATAAATATAAAATTTGTAAAAAATGTTCTACAAAAAATTAATTAGTTAAAAAATATATACTCTTTAAAAATTTTTCAATAAATGAATCGTTTTTAAAAAAGACAATTTTGAAGGAACAAATGAAAGGAAAAAGTGTAACAAATAAATAAAATTTTAAACAAATTTTAAATAAATAAATGAAACAAAAAGTAATAAATAAAAGGGAAAAGGATGGATACTTATAAACAAATTTTTTTATTTAAAGTGTGAATGTCACTAAAAGCTAAAAAAGAAAAATAAACAATACTGATTAAATATCAGAATTTTCTTCTTTTTTTCTTAATCCTAATCATTTATATTTATTGTAAAATTTTTGGTTTTTAATGACTTTTAGACTTTAAATAAAAAAATTTGTTTATAAGTATCCATCCTTTTCCCTTTTATTTATTCCTTTTTGTTTCATTTATTTATTTAAAATTTGTTTAAAAATTTATTTATTTGTTACACTTTTTCCTTTCATTTGTTCCTTCAAAATTGTCTTTTTTAAAAACGATTCATTTATTGAAAAATTTTTAAAGAGTATATATTTTTTAACTAATTAATTTTTTGTAGAACATTTTTTACAAATTTTATATTTATTCTTCAAAATTTTAATTATTTAAAAAATATTTGCTTTAATAATTTTTATTTTCAATTTTTAAATTTAACTATTTCAAAAAATAATTAGTTTATTTTAAAAATTTAATTTCTTCAAAAATTAATAATTCTATCACAGATTAAAAAATTTTTAATAAATTTCTTTGAAAATTAATTAATTGTATTAATTACCGTTGGTTTTTGTTGTCGCTAAATTTATTTCTGTTTAAAAGGGGTAATAATTTCTATTTATATTAAAATTTTATCTATTCTTCAAATAGGTCCATACCGCTTTTTAAATGTGCCATCGCGTCCGATCTGGCAAGTTAAGCAACGTTGGTTTTAAAAACGTCCTTAACCTTTAGATTTTATTTTGAATATATTAGTTTTTATATTGAGGGTTTTAAAACGTTTTGAAAAAAATGTTTTAGTTTTTATATTGGGGGTTTTAAAACATTTTGAAAAAAATGTTTTAAAACTCCTATATATACTACTAATATCCCCCACTTCATATCAACAATTTATTGCCCGCAGCCATATCCGAGTGAACTATCCGTCACGAATCATCTACAAGCTTTCTTTAATCCAGGCAATTTATATCATAACAAAGACTAATTTCTTAATTCGTAAATTAAGAAATTTGATAATATTAGATATTAGCTTTTGTATGATTTATTAGTTTTTATTTTTATACGAATATGATTGTGTTGTTTGTCCATGTTCATTATTTTTGGAAGCCTTAATATAATTTCGGGCTAAAACTAGTGAATTTATCTGCGCTACTCTCTTTCTATTTCTTCAGATATGAATATACTGGAACTAATTAATCTGAACCATTATTAAAATCTAGTATCTAAAGGTTTTTTAATTAAAAATTTCGATAGCAATAAAAATTAAAATTTGTTTTGCTCGATATGATTAAACTTTTAAAGCAATAATTATAAATCGAAAAAACTTTAACTGACCGGAAAAATAGTATCATATTTGTTGTTTTTGCAAGCTAAACACGATTTAGCTAATCTGACACACTCTTTTATTTGTTCCTTAAAATCAAAACATCCTTGCTCACCCGTTTTGCGTTTTTTCGCGTATAACTATCAAAAACTTTTGAATTAATTTAAATTGTTGAAAGCATTCGAAATTTAAATTTGGGTTTGCTCAATATGATTAAACTTTTAAAGCAAGAATTATAAACAGAAAAAAAACTTAACTATCCAGCAGTTGATTTTGATTGAGTCTTTTATTTTTGCAAGCTAAACATGATTTAGCTAATCTGTAAAAATATCTCATTTGATACTAATGAAGAAATTTTATAAAATTAGTATCAGTATCTACCTCATAAAAAAAATCAAAAATAAATAAAAATAATTTTTAAGCTTTTAAAACTTTATAACTAAACAGAAAGAAATTTTAATCAATCCATTTTTCCATTTTTTTGTTAATTTATTTTTGGAAGCTAAACGTTATTTAGCTATTACTCATTAAACTTTAAAATGTGTTAATTAAAACAACTTTCCATAATTAATTTAAGTGTGTAACTGTTTGTCTCTCTCAATGCTTGTCACGGCAAATAGACTATCAACACTTTTTACTGCGGAGAGAGCAAAGGCGAATAGCTCGAAATGAGAGGAGAGAAAAGCGTTATTTGGAGCAGAAAGGAGAAATTAAAATTGTAAAATTTTAATTTTGATAAGTAGGGATTAGATTTATGGGGATTCCTACGTTACTTCAAGGCCTTTTTGGGGCCTCTAGCGCCAAAAAAATGAGCTTATTTCTAGTAAGCTCATGAGTTCGTTTTTGAGTTATAATTCCATAATTTTCATATTTTCCCAATTCATATTTTTGATTGATAGTCCATATTAGAGATCGGACTGGGAGCGTGGGACGAGAATTGTGATCTCGAAAAATTCTTAATCTCAATAACCGAGATACTTGTCGAGCTCTCGTCCCGGTCCGGTCTATAATAAATCCAAACCCTATTGATAAGACATTACTAGCATTCTCATGAACATACAAATCTGATAATTTTGAGTATTTTTAAGGGAGAACAGCACAAAAGACAAACAACAGAAAATGCTCAAAAACAAGGAGAAAAAGCCGAAGTTATTGTTCCACTTAATAAATGTTCCCCTCCACGTTCTCCGCCCAAAGTTAAGCCACCGCCTACCCCAAAGTATTATTTAGAGGAAAATATAATATTGTGTAATTTTAAGAAATGATGAGGAAGCAGCCCAATTAGGTACTTCAATTAAAGCTGGCAAACTTGAGTGGAAGGTAAATAATTACAGATTTAACATGGTTTAACTGATTTTCAGACTTGATATTTCAGCCCGCACCCTCTCCTCTCAAGTAGTAGCACAAAAATATAATGTAACATGTACAAAGTACATAGTACACCTGTTCAATCACTGAGATTTTGGGTGTCATTCGAATGAACCTTCTAATGTTCTATAATTTGCAAATGAAATATTCCCCTCTAAAGTGTATTTTCGAGGCCTATATCAGGGACCGCTCAGATCAGCCAGCTCTTCGAATGACATATAATTCGTCCGAATACGAAACAAAATTTACCTTGTAAAATAATTTAGCCATTTTTTGCTAGTACATTCTTTTGCTTCGCACCACATGTTCAAACATTTTCAACACTGATCATAAGGCTTCCCTCATAGATAAAGCTTAAAAATATATTAGCCAGCTTATTTCGAGGCTTACAAAAAATAGAAGTTCATAATGATCGCCTTTTGAATAAATTTGAAATTCAAAACACTTATATATAATATAAAATAAAAAATTAAATATTGTGTATATTTTCTTTAATATTTCTTTTTCCTACTAAATTGTTAAAAAATTTTAGATAGGAAAAACTGGACGAAAGGCAAAAAAAGAATCTTCTTCTAGAGCTTCCAGTATCTCCCCTCTTCGCAATCTTTCAATTAAAAATAACCAAAAATGTGAAGGAAAGAGAAAGTCTTCAACCCTCGAATCTGTGCCAAACAATAAAATTAAAAAGCGGGTATTTGATGGCAAAAAAGAACAGCAACATCCAAGCCATAAAAATAATAATTTTGAAAAATTAAATAATAAAAATTGTATTAAAAATATTCAGCCAGAACCGTCTGCCCCTCCAATGTATTTTACTATGCAATTGCAACAACACCATTTTAATTAATTTTATTTTTGTTTGAATAAACGAATTTTTTAAAATATTTTTTTTTGTGCCTAGAATACTTCAAAAATCGAAATGAAAATTCTAAGAAAAGTCTTTGTTTAAAAACCAAGAGTCTTGCACTCCTTTCCCTTCGATAACTCATCCTTATTCTAGATTCTTTACCTCGTGCTTTTGAAATTTTATTGCAATTGAGGCTGAATAAAATCATAAAATGAGCTCCAAAAACTCTTAACCATTAATTTAATTTAAATTTTATACATAAATTTAAATCTGCTTCTTTAAGTCTAGAATTGCGAGTGATGTTGTTTCTTGTTGGCACTGGTTTCTTGATGTGAGAACATACATACTATTCATAACTGATTCAATAGGAAGCAATTTTTAATTATTTTGCCTCTTCATGTTTTTTTAGAATGCATAATTTTGTGGCCTCTATTGCTTAGTCTATAATATTTTTAATTATATCTCGAATTCTCATAGTAAAATTTAGAAATTTTATATACTCAATATTATAAATTTACTTTACTGATATTTAATATTATCATAATGAAATATCCCTTTTGGTTTGCAGTAAGTATTTGAAGATTTATTTTTTGGAAGCCTAAACAAATCCTTAGGCTATTTTTCTTTTCCAATTGTGATCTTCCTAGACACATTGAATTCATCTGTGTTTAATTTAAATATTGTTTAGATTAGATTTTTCTGAAAAAATTCGACTTTTTGTGGTATATCAATGCCCCACATTTGATAACGACAATTTATTAAAACAGTGAACTAGTATCGCCAGAAAAGTCTGTTTCAATATCCAATAATCGCCACTAACCATCTTCGTCTTTTAGAGATTCTTTGAAATTGATAGTTATTCGAAAGCTTGGCCACAATTCAGGCAAATGGCAGTTATTGAAAGCTCTCACTCTACTCAATTCTCTCACTCTATTCGACGTAGCACACTTCATTACCTACTGTCGAACCTCTAAAATTTCGAAAAAGATTCCATCTTGTTTTTTTATGGCAGCAAAAAAATGATAAAACAGAGGTAATACAACCCGAAATTTTACCTAAAAACTCTTTAAAAATAATTTAATTCTTGGGTGGTTCTAGTGTAGATATAACGTAGCAATTTAACATGTCAAATTTGCGTCTCATAAATATTAATTAATTGAGTTTTTGTTTGATAAGTACTTGAAATATTTTGGCGATATTGAACCTTCACGCTTGTTGATTCTCTCTATATTTTTTGGAAGCTTGAACAGTGTTCAATGCTAATTATTAACAACGTTTTATAAAGTGCTAACTTTTAGTCTTAGCTTATACGAAACGATAGAACACTAATATTAACAATTAAAATATCAAATAATCTCAACAATTTCTATTGAGACGTTATGCAAACTGTTATATATTGGAAAGCTTGGCCATAATTATGGCAAATGGCAAGTAAAGAAAGCTCCCGAAATTTTACCTGAAAACTTCTCAAAGATAATTTAATTCCTGGTTGTTCTTGTGTAAATTTAACGTATCAATCTTCCCATGTCAAATTAGCGGATCATAAATATTCAATAATTAGTTTTTGGTTTAATAAGTACTTGAAATATTTTTATATCTTGTCTTTGCGTGCTTTGTTGTTATATATTTTTGGAAGCTTGAACATTGTTCATTGCTAATTATTAACAAACGTTATATAAAGTATAACTCATACTCTTTACTTATACGAAACGATATAACACTAATAATAACAATCAAAAAATACATCATATATTCTTTAATATAATCTTAATCTATGTAATTTTAAGTCCATCATCTCAATGTTGTTGACAATGTAACGGAGAACATGATAATGTTCCCCTTAAACTTTAATTTCCCCATTTCATCATATCCCTTACCCTCTATTTATCTCTTTATTTATCTTTTATTGTTTTTCCCATATCCTTCCCGCCCCTTTTAACAACTAATTGAGTAAACACTTGAGGAAGATCAGTCTTGAAAGAATGGAGAAATAAATTAAATAATTCTTTTGTTTTATGTTTCCCAATTAGTATTTTTAATTTGAATTTATTTATTTAACTTTATATATTTTGAATGACCTAATAAAATATTTGTTGATCTAATCAAGTACCCCCTGAGCTGATTTATATAAAATTCGGTAAATTCTGCGCCTCCCCTCGTTTTCATCGAGTTTCTTTCCACGTTAACCGGCGCTCTGAAGGGACCGGATCCAATATTTTTAATTAAATAACGAATTCTCATAATAAAATTTAAAAATTTTAATGCTCAATATACTAAATTTATTTTTATGATATTTAATAGTATCTAAAGTCACGTGGTTTTTGTCTATTGTACCGGTTCCAGACAAGCTGTTAGGTATGTGTGGGTCTAGTATAAAAGGAGTCGTTAGAGATCAGTCTGGGTCGACACCTGGGTCGACCGGCGCCGTCTGTCCTTATTCATTCTTGCCTTTTGCCACCTTCACTATTATTGTATTTAGTCTTGTAGATAAAGCACAGTTTGTTAGTCTGTCTTATCTTGTTATTCTTGTTAGTACGTAGACATACAAGTCACGTACATAACAGTGGCGCGGTCGCAGTCGTGAATCATTGATTCACAATTCGGACAATTATTCGGAGTATTCAAATTCGGGGGATTATTCGGATTATTCGGAGATTCGCAGAGCACATCAGAGTCTTATTCAGAGGAGAGGCGTCAGTTGAAGTGTGGCAGGCATTCAAGCCGATCGAATTCATCTATTCGACAAGGCCTAGCAAACCTTGGTCAATTCTAGTCAAGTTAGATAGAACACAGTTGGTGTTAAAGATTGTAGATTTTATTCGGACCAATTCGAGATTTGAAAAAGATAGTTTAATTATTCGGTCCAGAAGTTAGTATTTTGTTGAAAAGATTATTCGATGAATTCGAGCTTGATCATCAGGAGCAGAGTGAAGGAGCAAGTTGTATTCAGTATTTTGATTATATGAGGAACCGCAGTCATGGGCAAGATGTAAGTCCCGATTGTTTATTCAAGGCCGCAATGAGTAAGTCGGTCAAGTGGACGTAAGAAGGTCAAGTATTATTCAAGTCTGAGTCAATTATTTAGTCGCTCATGAGAAGTTTGCAGATAAAATGTTAGTATTCGCTCCATTGATGAATTCATATGGCATTATTCAGTTTGATTGAGAGATTATTCAGATATTCAGATTATTATAGAGAATTTAGAAGTTAGTCAAAATGCCATATTTAGTTTCGCCCAAGTAGTAGAAAATAGGGCAGTATTATTCAGGGAATTAGTGAAAATCCCTACCCAGTGTTGGGTTGATTCAGATTATTCGATGTGTCTCTGCTTGGTTCGATGATTAGAAGATCGATGTTGATGAGAGATGTTCTGGGACATTTGTGATAATTGTGATATTTTTGTTTGTTGTAAATTTTTTGTTTTGTTTTCCCCCACTGTTTGTAATTTTTGTCCCATTGTATTCAAGGCGGTGTCATTCTGTTATTCGATTCGAGAAGTTATTCAATTCGGACCCAACCTAACAATTCTATTCAGTAGCAAATTATTCAAGTTAGTCCCTAACTTTTTTAAAGGAGGGAGATGTTAGGTATGTGTGGGTCTAGTATAAAAGGAGTCGTTAGAGATCAGTCTGGGTCGACACCTGGGTCGACCGGCGCCGTCTGTCCTTATTCATTCTTGCCTTTTGCCACCTTCACTATTATTGTATTTAGTCTTGTAGATAAAGCACAGTTTGTTAGTCTGTCTTATCTTGTTATTCTTGTTAGTACGTAGACATACAAGTCACGTACATAACACAAGCTTTATTTTTTGGAAGACTAAATAAATCCTTGGGCTATTATTTTTTTCAATTTTGATATTTTTAAATTTTTTGAATTCCCATTTGTTTTCATTTAAATATTCTGTGAATTAGATTTTTATGAAAAGAGATTCAACTTCTTGTGTATAGCAATATTCCCAATTTTATATCGCCACTATTTGGATTTTTTCAGGGTTTTACCTATTTTTGCATTTAAA